TATAAGACTGATTCTGAACTCCTCTCCGTGAGGATGTTAACACATGTTGAAAGCTTCTTGTCCTTGGCAGTAAAATTTTCATTGGCTCTAAATACTGGAATTACCAAGCCACGGACCTCTGAGGGCTGCCACAACAAGTGTTTCTTTTGCAGATTTTCATCGGACTCTTGATCCGAAGGCAGACTGCCTTCCCCACTAAAACCAGATACGTACAATTTCTCATTGCTCTCTTAAATACAGGCAGAAAGGTTACCTCCTTCCACTAAAAGGGTGTCAGTGCGAAATCCAAACGAAAGAAAGCACGCATCCAGGAGAGCTAATTCAGGTCCAGTCTAGGAAAACTACATGGTTACCCAGTAGGTACTTTTCACTTGAACTCTTGTCTCATATGCTTTTGCACAGAGCTAGCTCTCACTGCTGCCGCATGACTTTGCTGGTTTTAAATGCTACTATGTTAAAATGGTCACCTGAGTCCCAGAAACGTTCGGTTCGACACCCGCTGGCAACTGCACGATCAGCGGACGCGACGAGCTGGCCTCTTCTCTGGTTTTGCCACGCTCGATCTCGTAAAAACAATTATATGGAGACAAACTCAATCTGTTTGAGCCAAAGGAGCTCAGCTAAGAAGTATGTCAGATGACACCCGTGCTAAATCTTCACGGAGGATGTCTCCAGTGTATAGTAATTCCTCTTTCCAGGTTCCCACAATGGATTTGAGAAAAGAGGTTGTTTTTTCTTCAGTCCCAAAGATTACATGATCATATACAGCTTTGCTTTGCAGTTGCTGTTGTTGGTATTATTATTATTTGGAGGGCACCGGCAAAGTGCTAGCTTTGTAAAAGTTTGGTGTCCGTGTTTTTAGGGAAAAAAAGAAAAAGTCAGCAGTAGTAAGTTTTTCTGGTAAGAGTTCAAAACTCTCCTTTCGTTCTTTGAAAAGTGTTCCCATCTCTCTCTTGGCTTTCTTTCGCTTTTGACCTGGAAGACGACCCCCTCTCCCCCCTTAAGGTTCATTGTAACCCACAACATTCAGCTCCCTTCCCCATCTGCTTGAAGTCAGGCAAGTCCAAAGCAACAAAGAGTCGAGACTACAGACACGGCCCTCTACTTTTTTTACCCTTCTTTTTGAATGTGCTGAAGAAAACAAAATATCTCACAAAGTGAGGAAACACTTATCAGGCCAGCGGGCCCCCCGCGGTGGAGGTCTTTAGTCTTTCACCACACTTCCACGAATAAAGAATTACCTGAGAGAGAATGAGAAAACGCAATGACCAAACCACTTTCGCCTTCCAGTCACCGGTCCCTCTTCACACCTTTGCCGTAGGAAAGGCGAATTGCTCACGGCAGCAGAGACAAGGCCCGAAAGGGCAATTTAAATAAAGGAGGGTGTTTTAGAGTGCTCCAGTTTTCAAAGAACCGACATTCGTGCCCCGTGTCTTACCTATAGGTAAGAAAAGAGGGGCTTTAAACGGCCCGGGCTCTTACTGCCTTGGGCAAGGAGAAGGGGCGGGTTTCTGGAAACACAGGTGAGCAGTTGCTGATGGTTAACAGCTCTTAATGGCTTATTGATTCAGCCTTACGGGCCAAAGTGCTGGGATGCCCCCGGGGAGGTAAAGGCAGAAGCGAGGGGACCTGCGAAAAGGTGGTGGGGCGGAG